CACCGTTGTAAGCACAGTAGTCGTCGGTTGCGAACACCAGCGCAAGACAACAGTAGGACAGAGTTTCAAGGGACTCGTCCCACCGAAGCACTCCGAGTCTAGGTTCTTTTGATCCCACTGGGACTGCCATTGCACTTTTGCACGGAATGCAACAAAATACTCCAAATCAGGATCCGTGCGATCAGACGACTGCAAGTTTCATCACAACCCTAGTGAAGAAGTACCAACTCAAGAGTGAGCTGCACTGCCACTTGGACACTCATTTTCCAATTCGCGTCCAACATCAATCCCCAATCATGCGCGTTGCCTTTGCCTTGTCTGCACTTGCCGCCAAGCAGTCGGTGGTGTCGCTGATCGCCGACGAACGGTTGAGCCTGGAGCAAGAGTTGGCCGAGTGGAAGGCCGAGTTTCGCGGTGGCCCGTGAAAACAACTTGCTTCCCACCACCAACTCGATCTTGAGCGAAGATGAACAGGTGGACGCCGAACTCCAGCGCATCCTGGACTCCAAATTCTCGGTCGAAGGAGCTGCGTTGACCAACCCCGACGCCACGTTCGACTGGCGCAACCACTTCGCCTTGCTCAGCAACGACGAGTTCAAGAAGTACGTGGCCGTGTCCTTTGGTCGCGGGTCGCACTTGCGCGGCGAGATTATCGACACGCTCGAGGACGAGACCGCGTCGTTGCAGGCGACGTCCAAGGACTGGACCACGTCTGGCTGTGTGAATGCCGTGCAAAACCAAGGCAGCTGCGGATCGTGCTGGTCGTTCTCGTCTGTGTGTCACGGGGTTTAAGCGACATTTAGACGGGCAGGCGCGGCGCAGGCAAGCAGAGAGAACACGCTCCAAGTGTGAGGTTCGAGGCAAAACGTAAAGTCGAGTTAGTAGATTTAGCTCAGGGGAAGAGGTAGACTAATAGATAATCTAGGTCCCTGAGATCCGGGGGTCTGATCGGGAGATCCGGAACATCCGAATCCCACCCCGTGACATGTGGGTGTGGCCGAGTCGGTGCACTGCATCAAGACGGGCACGTTGCTCAAGTTGGCTGAGCAACAAGTGACCAGTTGCTCCATGAACGGAGGCAGCCAAGGCTGCAACGGGGGCTGGCCCTAGTACGCTATCCACTACGCTGCCAGTGGGTTATGCTTGTCGTCGGCGTACCCGTACACGTCCGGCAGCACCGGCCAAACCGGCGCCTGCAAGAGCTGCACTAAGCAGGCACTGGCCATTGGATCCAGCGTGTGCGTGTCTGGGGGGCGCGGGGGTCAAGATTGCGTTGGCCAAATAGCCCGTGTCCGTGACCGTGGAGGCCGGCAACAACGTGTGGAAGAACTACAAGAGCGGGGTGGTGTCGGTGTGCCCCGGGTCACAGTCTGACCACGCCGTGCTCGCCGTGGGCAACGATGGCTCGTCCTTTAAGGTCAAGAACTCGTGGGGTGGGGGCTGAGGCAGCGACGGATACATCTTGCGCAGCGGCGTGAGTGGTCAAGGTACGTGCAACGTCGTGGGCGCCGCCTCGTTCCCCCGCATTTAAACCGACAGAGCTCGCTGCTTGCGGATGCTTGTAACGTCAGTCCAGATGACATCAGAAATCGCCTGTCGAATCGCTTGCTTTAACGGCCGAAAAACCGTTACCTCCAGTGGCTGGAAAAGGTGGGTCGAGTTTGCGGGCAAAAACTGAAGGAGAATGTCCAAGGCTTTGGCTTCGTCGTATTCCAAAATAAGCAGCACTGCACGCTGCATGGTGGAGGGAATGTTGTCGTTGAGCATCAAGAGCCACTTGCGACAAATGTACGAATTCGTCCACCCCTTCTCAGAGGTTGTAACGGTTGCTCCAGGGATCGTAAGGTTGTCACATGTATCGGTAGATACACGGTCTCCAGGCAGCACAAAGAGCGGCGGTATCTTGGCCCCATCAGCAGTCACATATGCGACAATCGTGACGTGAGAAGCGGCAGATGACTACTCGGCGTAAACAGCCTTTGTCGTACGGTGGACCACAACCTTCCTTGCTGTCTTCGAGGGCGAGAAGCTTGTTTCGTCCATGTTGAAAATTCGGCTTGGGTCCATGTTCAGCATTGACATGGAGTGTACGAGCTCGTGAAAGAATTCGACGACCGTATCTTTATCGACACCGTTTCGGGTCTTACTGAGCACTTGAGCCTTTGCGATCTTGATTTGAGGGTGTCGCTTGAGGAATCTTGTATACCATCCGGTCGTCAGTTTTGGGGATGCATGTCTTCGACCACGGCGACGATTTCGGTGGCCTTATCAGTTATTTCTCGACATCCAACTGGATGCCCATCACGCTCCATGGCAAGTATCCAGGCCACCAAGTCGAGTTCGAACGGCCGTGGCAAGACTGGTGGTGGCCCCATCGACACCGGTTGTGAGTTGCCGTTACGTGCATTGGTCACGTGTTCACGGAGTGTGCGCAAGGGAATGTCGTGAGCACGAGACGCTGAGGCAATAGTGTGTTCTTGAGCTAACACTGCATGCACGACCACACGCAACGTGTCCTTCGTGTACGATGTCCGTGGCGGCATTTCGTTGTCAATTCAAATCGAAAACCTCTTAAAGTGTATAAGTTTTGCCTCCATAATTTCTCACGAGGTCAATATTGTAAGCGGTTTTCTTTTGTCCAATACAATGTTATTGGATAATTTATTTTGGCGGATTACTGGTCAGTTGGCGGATCACTGATCGGTCACGTTAGTTTCAGAACTTATTTGGAGTGAACATGATTATCATTTGTGCTAACGTGATCGACAGCTTACTTATTGTGTTCAAGTATTGTAGCCTGAAGGGGCATGACACGGTATATGTAAGTACACCTTTTTGCAGTTAAGTTGGACTAATGCCCGATATATTTGGCGGTGTGCCCGATATAATTAGTCATATGCCCGTTTAATTTGGCACACCGAGGTCGTGTCCCGAAATATTTGGCCGTGTGCCCCAGTAATTGGTCATCTGCCCGATGAATTGTGTCGTATGCCTGATGAAAATTGACTTACTCAAATAATAATATTCCGTGGAGTGCAAATCAGCTTTGGTGGTTGAAGTTCGGAGGAAAAGGTAAGAATTCGAAATTTATACTTGAATAAAGTAATGTTTATGGTCATATGAGGGAGATTTGCGCGGCTTTCCTCCAATATGTTGAATGCTCATTATTCGAATCGCCAAGGAGTGCACAGCATGGACGTAGCTGCACCCCCATGAACTCCAGTAATGATGTCAATTGAAATATTCCCCCTATAGTCCAACGTTTCGTCCATACTTCCAACCTCGTCCAAAATTTGAATCTGTCGCGCGCAGAGCTCACTTTTCGATTTACCTCAAGGTACGCACAATCGATAGACGCGCGGAGGCCATGGGCAACATGGACGTTGGTATGTGACGTCACAGCAACGATGCTGCATGGGTCGTTTAACGACTATTTCTATACTAGGTATTGAATTTACTTTTTACTGTATTGCGTAATTTCCATTTTCATCGGGCACACGACACAATTCATTGGGCAGATCGGCAATTATATCGGGCACACGACCTCGGCGTGCCAAATTAAACGGGCACATGGCTAATTATATCGGGCACACCACCAAATATATCGGGCACACGGCCAAATATACCGGGCACACGGCCAAATATATCGGGCATTCGTCCAATTTAACTGCAAAAAGGTGTACTATAACGTTAGTATTGTATGTACTATACGTGAAGCTAACGTTATAATGTTGGTATTGTACTATACGTGCTGCTAACGTTGTCAAGTGCATGTTAATTATACTATAGTATTACTATTAATAGCTACTTCGAAGTACTATAAATAGACTTTTTTACGTGAAATTGGGCAGCTTATTTGACTACCAGTAGTGTACACAAATCATTTATATTTTTATTCTAATACATTTCCTCATATACATGGTTGGGATTCCCAACTTTCAAAAAATGTACTATTAATAGTATGTCCGAACTTGAGACATACTTTTTAAATTAAAATACGTTGACGGAAGCATGATCTTTGTGCAGGTCTTCCTTGTTGGCCGCCATCCATTTGCGAAATACGACTGGAATGTCGTCCAGCAAATTAGCCGCATTGTCCAAGGACGATTCTTCATTGTCGAGTCCCAGCAACTTCCCCAAAACTTGGTGTTGGTCATCCACGAATCGCGCTTCGTCCAGGCGCTCCACGTGTAATCCGCCATCGCCGAGCGCAATCTGCGCCTCGAGGTCTTCGGTCACCTCTCTACCACCTTCGTGGTAATCTTCAATCGGCACGCATGACGGACCGTTACTTCATACGATGGCACCAGCTGCTGAGTCTCCATCACATGGCCTGTGATGACTCTGGTCAGTTGGCAGGGTCCGCGCCAATGCAGGGCCAATTTTGTCGGAAGGTTGACGACCGATCCGATAAGCAAAAAATCGCCGACCGAAAAACCCGCAAACTTGACTTGGGATTTTCGGTCATGGCGTCCGCGCGCTTGCTGACGCAACTTGTCGCTTCGCACCGCAACGTTGCGGTGCATTTCTTCAAGTGCCGCTTGGAGGTTCGGCACATGTTTTTGACGGGCGTCGCCAAGCCAGTCCGCGCCGTAAACTTCCTTAGACGTCGGGTGGACAAATTCTTCCAGTGGGGTCTTGGCTGGCAGACCGGTAAACGCTGTCACAGGTGCAATTCCTCCTAGCAGGTCCGCCGACTGATGGTTGAGGGCACCTTGAACGAGGGGCAACACTTGCGGCCATTCGTCCGCGTGCAGCTTCATTTCGCTAAGCAGTGCCTTCATGGCGCGCAGCACTAGTCGGTTGACTACTTCTACAGTCCCGTTCGTCCAAGGACTGTAGGCTGTTGCGATGTGATGGTGGGCACCCACCAACACCCGCACCTCCTCGATTACTTCGTTCTTGAAGTGAGAACCGCCATGTGATACCCATGTGTCAACGCAGCCGAACGTGGTAAACCACGTCAGCGGACTCTGCCGCGAACAGCTGCACAAAGCCACTCATGCCGTCCTTCACGACAAGCACTTGTGTTTGGCCAGACTTGACCATGGGCATCGACAACCAGTCGAAATGGATGAGCTCGTTCGGCTTCTCCACGTGAAGCACCGAGCCTACCCACTTGCAGCATCATTGTACAGATATTCTAGTTTCGGGGTTTCGGCCGCGAGGTCGACGAAAGACTTCACGTCATTCTCGTGCCTGAATAAAGTAGTGAGGTCCTTCCAGAGTATGTAAGGACACCATGTTCAGAGCAACTTCCTTCTACCACAAATGACATACTCATGAGACTCTAATGCGATTCACCTCGCCATCCCAGGCTGTCGCCATGGATGGATGGATGATCAAACAAAACACAAGCGTATCCGGTTTTACCAGCAAACCAACCATTTATGTTGAAGTCGAACAGTGCAATCTGGCGCTTCGAGAATGGGTCCATGCAGGCATTCACAGGCATCGCGAACGGAGGCGATCCATTGCACTGCAAAGCATTGATCTGCCCCTAATACTTCTGGTTCTTGGGCATACAAGCGCGCCTTTCGGCCTTGATCGAGCCCGAAAATGTCGGCGGCTGCGGGATCGCTGCCGCGTTCCATACGGCCGAAACCGCCATCGCTGCCCATGTCCGTGACGGAATCCGACGGCGGGTCGTTGTCAGCAAGCAACCGTACTGGCGCGCCATCGGCTTCGGTCGTTAGTGGAGCAGCATCTGACACAAACGCTACGCAGCTTGTGTTCTTCGGGTTGTGGCAGGGGTATAAAACCCACCACGTGGCGGTTGCCACTCGTCGACAGCAAGTGGCTGTCGTCGTCGGGACAATCTGAATGGGTTCTCAACGGTACACCGAGCGGCACGCCCTCGCGACTCCTATATCCGGTCACGCGACCGCGATCGTTCTTCGGCGTTCGTTGGGCTTTCCTCGTCGAAGGAATGTTCTCGTACCATCTCCAGTGAATAGCTCAATAATGAACTAAAGATATCTTTGTTTTGTCTCCCGCTTCTTGGCTTTCGGCCACGGGACTTTCGTCAAGGTAGCAAGTATAAGATTGACCTTAGTTAGGTTAAACACGCCACGAGGCACCTACTACCATTCACTAAAGTACTCAGTACCTCCAATAAGATATCGGAATCTTTGACACGGCACATACACAGAGTGTGGGTCAAACTAACACGCGACCCAATTGATATGCACACTGCAGAACAGTAGAGTTGTCAAAGCTGTAAATAATTCGAATAGAACTGTAAAATTCTACTTCGAAGTAGTTACGTTTACAGTCGCACTGGTGGGGATGCTCTTAACTCACACACACGGAACAGAATACAGTTGATATATCGTTGTAAAGTGGACTGTGCGTGGGTAACTACTTTTCGTGGCACTTGAGCTGGTCCAAGAGGAAACTGAGTTCCACCGCCTTCTTTTTGAGCAATTGGTATCGTTCGCTCACACTCATGTGCCCACCGTCCAGATCCATCTTGAGCAGTACTTGGTTGTTGTCGGTCTTCAGGTCACGCAACTTCGCCACCTGCACATGACACAAAGGAAAACCTCATAAATAACTCCAAAATCCACAAAATACCGCCTCGAATTACTCATAACAGACAATTAACTCACCCATTTCGTGGGTTCCCAATACCCCACGCGGGAATCAAAGAGGCCACTGGTCACGAGCAGGTTTGGATACGCTTGGGCTTGCACATTGTCGTAGCTACATATCCGTTTGAAGTTGTATCGTTGGACAAAATCCCGTTCAACTTGAACTATATATATATATATGAAGTTTGAGATAATAAAACGTACGGTGAATATTGCAACATGTACTCGAAATATTCGAGTTCATTCGGGTTGCCCCAGTCAGTCCATTCCATCGTCGTGAGTGGAATCGTGGAGTCGCACATGCTGTTCATCACATCGACAAACGGCACTGTCGCGATCGTCTACTCGTAGGAGACATATATTAGCCAAGCTATGACGTGGCAATACGAAAATGTACCGCTATAAACAAGTCCGGACGCATGTTCAATACTGCCCCAATAAGCAACCCGCCAGCGCTACTGCCTTCGCACGTCATGTGGCTTGGGGACGTTACCTTGGTGGCCACCAAGTGCTCAGCGCACGCAATAAAGTCGGTAAATGTTGTCATCTTGGTCAGGTACTTGGCCGCTTCATACCTAAGACCATTGTAATCCGTAAGCCATTTCTCATAAGTGATATGGACACTGTTCTTACCACGTGCGTCCGTTTTCACCGCCGCCACGGATATGCGCGATCACATACACCACGCCGCGGTCCAAAAAGGGCAAAATCGTGGCTTCGAAGTTCGGTTCTAAATATTCCGTCATTTACATGTCCACCTTCACATACGGTTTTTCACAAAACCACGCACCAACCGACATTTCGTACGACCCATACCCATACAAATGCAGCGCTTGCGGGTTGCCCTCCGCTTTCTTCTTATCCTTTCGATAGATCACACTCATGGGAATGGTTGTGCCGTCGCTTGCCGTAGCCTCCACCCGTTCGCTATGGTACAACGAACTAAACACATGTTAGATTTATCCGTAGATATTTTCTCCTTACCGATCGTAGTACGGCACCGGCGTTTCCTTCAAAATCACCGTCTTGTTCGATATAAAGTCATACTCCACAGTTTGCACGGGGGTCGTCAGGGAGCTGTACGTGTATCGGAACTTAGTCGTGGCGTATTCAACATTTTTAGCGGTGCCCAGAGAGTAGATGGTTTCGGGCATGTTGAGGCGGGTCCTATGCCACGTCGAGTTGTTGCTGTCTCCTATGAGAAAGCACCATCGGTACAATGATCATTTGTAACTACTACGTAGTAACTGTACAAATATTGCCAAATCCCGGTAGATTGTAACTACTACGTAGTAACTGTACAAATATTGCCAAATCCCGGTAGAGTAGTTAGCCAATCAATTTGCACGAAGTCATAGTCAACATATAATGAGTGCATGAGTCATGTGTTTGGTATAGTCAACATATAATTAGTGTGCATGAGTCAACCAACACCACTGATGTTTGGTACATAACTAGTTACAAGACTCACAGTCAGTATAAGTTACAAGATTTACAGTCAGTACAACGATCGATCACTCGAGGGAATTGGTGTTGACAATTAGTGTGATTTGGGTAACCAAATTGCAGCAATACAAAACCACAAGTCCATACAAGTATGAAGGCAATAAGACGGACATAGGGGGGTCACGTACTACCGCAGATCCAGCGCTGGGTGAGGCTGTCTTGGCGCCCGTTGAGCACAAAAAACGACTCGAAGCAGATCACGGACTCCACTTTCACAGTCGGATCATAAGAAAACACGGGTGTCCATTGGGAGTTTTGTGCCGCCTTTTGTTTGTCCAACACGATATGGAGTGGCACCGACATCAGTTTGAAGTTGACGTCGCCGTCTCGATTCGTCGAGATCAACAACTCGTTTTGCCAGTGCTCGACCGTGTATTGCACACCCTACTCATCCTCAAATGATTACTATTACCATGAAAAATATTAATATATATGGAGCATAATACTAGTATATGCCAAGAAAGAGCTGGCAATGTACAGTACAGTGAAAAACATGCTAGTTGGCCTAAGTGATACAACCTACTAGTATAAAGTGTGTCCAATCATAATCGAGAAATTTTGGGCCAAGCTTATGATTGGTTTAAATAAGCCAATCATATATGTTTAGCTTGTCAATTTCGAAGCACCAATATTCCACTAATATACATATATATATTCCAGCCACGAGTTAGAAACTCGTACAAACATATTTGTTTTGTCAAATCCGGTCCAATCACTTTACACGTTTGAGATATTTGAACCAATGAACGATCATTGATCCAACCAAAACATACATCTTGGAAATTGTATGCAATAAATTGAATATCAGCTCACAGCCCCCAATAAAAATAGATATATTCTGTATACCTGAACACGTGGTGCGACGACAGCCAAGGACGGTTGGGGGTCGTGCAAATCGAGCACGCGCACTTCACTGGTCTCTTCGGACGAGGAATGAATGACAAGGAACCGGCCAGAGCTGGTTTTCAACAGATCGGCGAAGAGCATCTCGTCGTCCTCGGTGAAAAGACTCGTGTTATCCGACTGCGGCGCGCCTATCAGATGCGACCACACCTTGTGGCTGCGGTGGGCGGCGTCCTGTGTCACATAAAACAGCGTCTCAGCGTCCCGACCCCACACGATCGTGCCATCGCACCCTTCCACGGCCCTGTTTATGGTGTTGGTGGTTAAATCCTAAATAAAATACGAACAAAACATGTCAACTAGATGTCCAGTTGAGGTTAACATCGAGACAAAAGTGCACAATATAAAAAAAGGCATCTACTGGCTGGTGGATATATCTATAAATGGTGGCATGTCTGCATTGGGACGCCAAGCATAGCAATGTCTGTAGCAATTTCTGCCCAATGGAACAAGCCAAGCAACTTGTCTAGTATTTTGAAACAGGAGGTTCGAGTGCGGGTACCTTGATATAAATGTCGTACGTTTGGTAGGCCATAAAGTCCACCGAGTACGCGAGCAACTTGTGGTCAGGACTCACTTCGACGCTGCGGACGCCGCAGTACGCGTGGCCTTCCGCCAATTTGTTGACGTCAAGCAAGATTTTCTCGGCGCCATCATCATGACGAGGCTTGCGGTAGTGGATGCCGTACGCCTTGCCTTCTTCCGTGCGCGTGTAGTACACAAAGTCACCGTGGGGGTACGGTGCCGTCTGGTCAGTTTCCTGCACGTGGCTGAGCAACTCCTTGTACAACTCATCCTGCAGACTGTCCAAGTGACTCAACGCCGCCTTCGTGTAAGCGTTTTCAGCCCTCAAGTGGTCCAAGATCTCCGTGTTGGTGCGGGTATCGTCGCGGACGTAATAGTACGGATCTTCGAGGTAGATGATCGGCTCCATCGGCTGCTTGCCGCGGTTTTCGCCCGGGACTTTGCCAAACGGTACATTCTGTGGGCGCTTCTCAAGCACTGGAGGCGTCAGCGAGGCTGTCGTCGTCATGTCTAGAGCTGCAATGGCGCCCAAGTTCGCTTGCATGTTCGTTGAGTGGAGGTGAAGTCAAATGCGAAAATGGCACTGACGAGTGAAAAGGTGTTTTGAGTTTATCCAAAAACCAAAATTGGTTTTGACAACCAAAAGCAGCTTGAAGTGGGATAGACGGTGCCTTTTCGCGGGCCAAACCGCACTGGTTCATGTCGCAATGAAAAATACTACTAGTACGTACTATTTATAGTAGGATGTATTAATAAGTATCAATGCTGTACATGTAGTAGTACTATCCGATAATAGAGTTATTTTTCACCAAGAATCCACACGAATTTTCCAATACAATTTCACTGAAAATCCTTCGGGGAAAATCTTATTGGAAGGTGCTTTTGCTATAGGGAAAATTCACATTTAAGCAGAACTACCGCTGTGTTTGTTGTTTTGGCTCTTCTGGAGCACCTACCGGTAGTGCACGCCTCCCAATCTTTACGCATACCAACAACCCAGTGCAGTAGGTACAATGTGTGCAGTTTGTGGCCTTGCACCATCCCGATAGGCTGTAGTGTGCGTCGTGCCGCAGTACCAACACGTCCGCTTTCAGGTGGTCGATGAACACAGGAATAGGATGTATCTCTCGGCTGGTTTATGTTGGGCACTATCACACCGCTTGCCTACGTTACTGTATCCTCGCTCACCTACTAAAGTACAGCTCATCTACCGGTACGTTTGGTGCCGACCATGCCATTCAGCGAAAGTGGTAATTAGTTCAAGTGTTTTGATTGGCTACTGTGTGTGAAAAGGTATTCCCAGTCAGAAATTCTGATAGAATATATTCATCAAGAATTTCCCAATATAATCCCATTGTGGAACTTTACAGGAAATATCACGTAGCAAAATCACTCTAATGTGAGAATTATAGGTGAAGAATTGCGAATGTTTCGACCAAGATATATCCAGATGTAAGGCGAAACCCAATGAATGGGTTTCGCACTAAATCCAACCAATCACGACGGTAACGCAATAAGCTACATTCCATACAATCATTCTTACTAGTACGGTACTAGTATCAACAACGAGGTTCACCCATATCCGGACATTCCACTTTGGAATGCATGTGCCAAAATGCACGCGAAACCCAACCTGTCGCCTTGCATGACGTGAAGAAGGCTGCTCTGGCTGCTCGTGGAATGTTGCCAGATGTGAAAAAGAGATGGTTGAGTCGGAATTTTAACCAATTCGAAGAAACAGATATAGAGCAGATAATTGAACTGACCACCGAGGTGGTTGTTTCGTTGGAATGGGCGAACTGTGTTCTCAACTGAGCACCTTGATGTCGAACATGACGATTGCGCGAGGTGATCGACTTGATTCCAAGTCCTGGGAGTAGATTTGGAATAATATATCTCTTGCATTTGTATTGAATTATTTTTGTTGATCGGTCTATTGCACAGTAGTACCAAATGTGCACTTTTTATCGAACTTCAATCTTGTATCGTGCATTTCATGTGATGCTTTTCTCTCGGCTGTGTTCACGCATTTTGTCCTCGCCTATCAAGTCGCCTAGTCTATCAACTCTGACAGGCCGAGACAGTGGCCGCTTTATACTTGCATGTTCTGTCTATTCTTCATGTCTCTACCCTACCCTAGTAATTGCTCACTCAATCACCGCTCTAGCACAAGCAAAAGAGCGCTGATTCTCACACTTCAGTGTTTCCCTTTGGCTAAGTTTTAGCCCATAGGAACGAATCTAGATAGTTTTTAAACGACTAAATCTCACTTTCCGTTTTCCCTTCTCCTGCACACTTGGTTTGTCTTGGACACTCTGCGCAAAGTTGCTACACGCCTATCACCTTCGCTTACCTCCTGTTTACTACATTTTGACAGGATATTAGCCCTCCTGCTACGACCATTACCGCCTACTCCGGTATTCTTCTCGACGACGCTTACATGTTCTATGCCACGTGGCGCCCCACGTTCGAAGAAGCGGCCGTGAACGCAGGCTTCTTTTCCCTCTACGCCAACGAGACCTATTGCCCCATGCGCATCGAAACCAACGTTTACATTATCAGCCAGGTGTACTCCAGGTCGATAAGATACGAAACGAAGCGAAGTACTTCACTGACGGTAATGCCGATGACGCCTTGGAACAGCACCTTGCGACAGTCAAACGCCTCGAACAAGTCTTTACGCGCAAGTGTCTGGACGAGTACATGGCGGAGTCTCTCGCTGCCCTACGCGTCCAAGCTGAGGCTTTCCTCTTCAACTCTCTCATATCTATCATCCAACAAGACATCGGGTCCTACGCCTCTCCCTTTTCTCTCTGGGCCGCACTTTTAGCGCGCCACGAAAAAGCTGGCACCCGTGACCTCATGATCTTGTTCGCGAGTCTCACACAATTTAAGTACACCGATATCAGTGCCGAGATCCTCTTCACTAACCCTCGACGATCAGATCACTTGATCGAAACGGCGTTTCTTCCTGTGAACGCCGAGGCTCTCACGGCACATGAAGGACATGTAAGACGTTTGAGCTGTTTCGCACCCTCTTCTACTCTAACGCCTTTGCCACCAACAAACACGTGTGGGACGCTGTTTGGCAGCTCCAATTCAAGGTGCGTGAGGACGGTTCCGAATGCACACCTATCGCCACCAAGGCTACCATCCGCAACACCTTGAATATCGCCTCTCGTCGCAATCTCATCCTATGCGACCAAGGTTCCGGTGATTCCAAATCCCGTCGACACCAAGTTGCTTCTGCTACCACCTACGCTTCGCCTCCAACCGCCTTGTATGTTACGCCTACCACTACCCAACCTACACTGCTGCAGCAGCCCTTCCTAAGAGTTACTGCCACGTTGGGAACACTCGAACTGTCATAACAATTCTTTCAATTCATGTTTCTACTGTGGCTTGCCTGAACACCGCCTTCCCGACTGCCGCACCATGCGCGATGATAACTGTCAACTGTCAAAACCGCTTTAATGCCGGCGTTCCAAAGCACGTTGTCGACACCCACTGTCGTCGGAAACTCGCGTTGTCCCGCAAGATCATTGACGATCATACGCAGCATCATCGCCGCGACCGTGATGATTATGGACGACCATGGAAATGATCAGGGCCTCAACAGCAGCTACCCCAAGCGCCATCGTGACGACTGTCGACCGCCTTCACGCACTTCTACTCGTCGATCGTCTCCACATTCCTCGCAAAGAGGTCGTTCCTCCGGTAACTCCTCTCGAGCCCATCAACGCCTTTCTACTTCGTAATCTACCAACCACTCTCACTCCAGTCGTAGCCGCCCCAAGCCCCCTCCTACATCCGCCTATCCTCGCCTTTCGTCACCCACCCGTCGTGCTCGTTCATTGCCTCAACGACGACAAGCCTCTCCACCACGTCCATCCGCCACTGCTGGATGGAATACGTCCCAAACTTTTTATCCTTCTACCGCCTTTCTTCGGCGCTCTACATCGACACCGCCTGCGAAACGACAACGCCTTTGCAATCCCACCTCTCAATCCCCAACTACCAAGTCATCAATCCCGCCTACCCCAATCGCAACGACACATCCTCCAACTTCCTCTAGCCTAATGCTCACACTTGGCCTACCTCCACAGCACTCATCATCCCACCACAGTTCCCACTTCTATAAAACTACATACCACTGCCTCCCGCCTCCTTCAAGGTGGATGACTCTGTGCTGCCCCCATTCCCCGCCTACCGAATTAATCCTCCGCGCACGCCTCTAACAAACACACTACACGACCTCCCACGCCTGCCAATTAGGTTGACCCACCTGCGCGACAACTACCAGTACGCCTCAACCGTCGTGGTGGCGCCTACAGTGAACCTCCACCTCCCCGTGCTGCGCGTCCTTACTACTCCTCCGATGAAGAAGACCGCTGGGACTCAATTCATGATGTCGCCTACGGTCAGATGGCAAACATTACCACCGACGCATTTCACCAACTTTCCTATGACAAGTGCGTCGTCTATCATCTTTTCAAGCACCAAACTGGCCTCCATCCCAGAGCGCGACCACCACATATCCCACTCATCAAAGACAATCTTCAACTCAAAGACACCCAAGCCAACTCACGCCTCCCACATTGACCACCCACTTTCCTTTCTATGTTGGAATCACCTGGGACACAGTCTGCCTGAAGGTCTACTTCCCCAACCACATTAACCCATTTGCCTTGGAACCTTCACTGTATCCCCAGCTCTCCAACGAATGGATCATCGACTCTGGCGCCACCGTCTCCTGCACGCCTCACCGCCGCTAACTTCATCGACTCCGCCTTTGTCGACAAATCATTTACCCTTGCAGTCAGCGATGGTGGCCAACTCCCTGTTCTAGGCTGCGGGCCGATTGATCTTGGCGTTACCACCCACTCCGTCGAAACCTCGGCCAATCTCACCGCTCATCATGAGCCCCTCTCTCTATCCTTGGCCTTACATTCCCCCGCCTTAAAATTCAACCTTCTCTCTGTCCGTCACTCCGTCCAAGCCGGCTGTCACTTTGATTTTTCGCATCCTTCGCACTGCCTCATGGACATCGGTCGTGGCCTTTACTTGAGTGACCAAGTTAACGGCCCAGCCTTACACACGCCTCGCCATCAATCCTCCACCTCACCCCCCTGTTGCAGCAGGGGGGTGAGGTGGAGGTGTTCAGCTGCTATCATGGAATTCCAGGCTAATCTCGCAACTCATCCTCCCCTTACCGTACGTTTGGGCGAAAGTGCTTTCCCGAGCCTACTCCTCTGCCAATTCAAAACATTATATACTACGGAATAGCCCAGTACATCCACGACAATGTCCTGCGTGTGCTGGGCTAGGTTGCATACCAATACGTGGAGTATTGCATGAGGAGTAGCTTCCTTCATTTTCGAATGCAGCATAGATTTCATGATTTTCATCTCTTCAACACCATCCAACCAAAAACGAATTTCGACCGTATTATTTTACAGAATGTAATAAAAACTTGTTCTGGTTGACCTGAAGTGGTACTTCGAATACATACAGGCAAACGATATGATTGGCTTATTTAAACCAATCCTTAGTTTGGCCCAAAATATCTCACGCATGATTGGATAGAACTGAAGAAACTTCGGTAGTACCGGTTAGGCCCAACGAGCATGTTGCTCGCCGTAATCGCATATTATTATTGTGACTGAGAATAGCATTTCGACAATTTTAATTCGAATTTGCAATCGTATTATACTCGGCCAATAGGAAATACTAACTGCATTTCAATACAAACCACAAGTCAGATAGAGATGAAATTTGACGCTAAACTGTTTTATACTAATCTGAAGTACTTCCCAAAATTGGAGTAGTATTGAGGAAGTTACGAATTTTCTGAAGCGTTTTCGCCCAAACGTACAGTAGTGACGCAGACCCGAGTCCATTCTATATCAACTTTGCTACGCCTACTTCGTCCTCCATATCTACGCTTGAGTCGTCCAAGCCGCGGCGCGCTCCGAAGTAATCGATCAATTGCACATCTACATGATGTACTTTGGACGTTCGCCTACACTCATTACATCCAAGTTTCCACCAAGCTAAGCAAGACAGTTCATTTATCATTACCGCCTACCACCAAGCTCTCTCCTTCAACCCCACCGCCTCGTCCCTCATTTCCTGTTTATCCGGCACTTCGAAATTCCCTTCGGTCCACTCCTATCCAACGAAGCCCTATTTCGCATTTGGCACAACCTCCTCGGACACCCAAGCTCCACCGTTCTCCAAAGCCTCGTCAAGACCCACCCCGACTTCTCCACCGACTGTCCACGCCTGTTTAAGTCCTTCACCTGTAACACTTGCGAATTCGCCAAGTCCCGTCGACAACAGTTTTCCTCCGAAGCCGTGTTCCGCGCCTCATCCTTCCTCCTCATCGTCCAACCGACATTTGGGGCCCGTGCCCAGTGCCATCGATTGGTGGCAGCTTCTACTTTGTCGTGTTCATCGACGACTACTCCCGCTTTACCTGGGTCTACCATCTCGCCTTCCGCAAGGATATCTACGACGCCTATGACCTCTTCCGCTTCCAAGCCATCACAACCTTCAAGTCCGACATCAACACTCTTCAGTACCTACCGCCTACCGACATCAACACCCCGCCTACTGACATCGGTAATCTACAAGCTGACTACGCCAAGGAATTCGAGAAGCCCGGTTTCATCATCGCACCCAAGTACTCTACCAATACCACATTTTCCAACGCCTATTCGCCTGCTCAGAACGCCGTGGCCGAACGCCGCATTGGCCTGCTCCTACTGGCCAGCAATCTCCCCAAGTTCCTGTGGGCCGAAGCCGTCATCTACTCTGCCTCTGCCTGGCTTTACAACATCTCGCCTTCAACCTCCAACGACGGCCAGTCGTCTTACCATGGAGTTTTCTCCCGGCATCCACCCCTAGCCTCCCACTTGCCATTTGTCGATATTTCCATTGACGACCTTGTTGCCCTTCCACCACCGTCTTACCCCTACCCTTTCCCACCTCACTTGGCGCCTACACAGCCACTCGATCCACCACTTTACCCGCCATGGCACCTCTACGCTTTACTCAGCACCCGCCTGCCCTCCGATCCTAAAACCTGGCAGGAAGCCATGCGCCGTTCCGATCGCGACAAATGGTGAGCCGCCGCCCACGACGAATTTCAATCCCTTCAAGACAACAAGACCTACGATCTTGTTCACGCCTCAAAACCATGACAGTCCTGCCCTGTCGATGGGTTTTCCGCATCAAGCCCAACGGCACGTACAAAGCCCGCCTAGTTATCAAAGGTGTTCTACAACCCGAAGGCGTTGACTACGACGACATTTTTGCGCCTGTTGTACGCCTAGAAGTCCTCCGATTCCTTTTCATCAAGGTGGCCATTTACGACCTCCAGTGTGATCAAATGGACGTGAAGATCGCCTTTCTCAACGGGACCATGGATCCCCTAGTCTTCATGGAACAGCCGCCTGGCGACCTCGTGACCAATGTCTCCCGAAACGAACTAGTCTGCCGCCTAAAACACAGCGAGGAAAAGAGCGCTGATTCTCACACGTCAGTGTTTCCCTTTGGCTGAGTTTTAGCCAATAGGAACGAAGCTTGATAGTTTGTAAACGACTGAATCTCAATTTCCATTTTCCCTTGTCCTGCACACTTGGTTTGTCTTGGACACTCTGCGCAAAGTTGCTACACGCCTATCACCCTCGCTTACCTCCTGTTTCCTATATTGTGACAGTGCACATAAGCATGGACAGAGGTAGTACACCAAGTAGCAGCTTGGACAGACAAGTGCAGTAATTCCCTGAATTACTCAATCATTTCACGTGTTCTTATTCCTAGTACTTCGAAGTAATACGTAGTGTACTACTATCTTAGTTAACAGTAAATGCAAATGTAGTGTAAACCAAAACACCGTATTCCAGCTAGGGGTTTAGTGCATTTCAATGGTTAGCGAAAGCTAACTACTGGTGATTCAACCTGTCCCCGGGAATAGCAACACAAAGGGCCAGGGGGTTCCAAGGTTACAGGTTACTGTTTACGTAAGCAACAGTGGAACAGTTGGCTTATTTAAGGCAAGTGTCATGACCACATGACGTACTAGGTCGCCAAGTCAAATACGCCAGTACTTTCAATAAAACGCCACTAGGTGAGCCCGTTGCTCTGCTGCTGGAGTTAATTGTCGGTTGGAGCAAGTTACTACTTATTTGTCGTCGTAGTTGAGCCTTGCATAGTTTTCAGATATTTTCTAGTTGTAGTATTGCCAAAATCGAGAGCCCTCAGCAGAATCGAATGTCTTAAGAGAATGGATTAAAGAACCCCCTAAGCCAATCAAATCACGTTATAGTGAATTTCTGCCAATCTAAATGTTTGACCTGCTCCAGTCCCTCCGCATTGGGTAAAACCATAAATATATAATAGTTGTATAGTACTAGTATAGTTTGTACAAGCTTAAATTGGATCCAATGGATTCGAATGCTATTTGGCGAAATGACGCACAAGTCCAAATTTGGATGAAATGCACAATATGAGTTTGTAGTGTAATATCAATACTTCGAAGTAACAATATGTTTGTTGTATGCGTTTCAAAACTCTCCTACCTGCGGTAACTTAGAACGGGGTTCGGTATTTTGAAGATGGGAATCAGTGCATCTGCAGTGGGGTCAAATGAAAGTAGGAAAGGCTCCGGTAGAAATCTTGCGAAGACTAAGTCGCGCATCTAAACTCAGTAACGCTGTGGTCTTTCACGAGTTGGCTTGAAAGCAGTTAGCTCCGCAGATTGACTTGTGATATGTTCGTCAGTCTGCAGTCGACACGCTTGCAGGCAAGACCTATGTGTTGGTTGTGGTGAACAGTACTTCCGTATACACTTCGGAAGGCGTTCGTAATTCAAGTAGTAGTGTTTTCGAACTATCGCCGTGTTGTGTGGCTGTCCCAACTTGCGCCTCCGTGCAGCTTCTCTACGCAAACACAATTTTGGGGGAGCAGTGGGCTCTCATGCAAAGCATGGTTGTGTATTGAGCAGTTGGAGGCAATACTAATACTGAGCCAGTCACTAACTGACTATCTGATAATTTACTAACTCCAAGT